AAAGGTAGACATATGCTCTCGCGGACTTTTTTAAAAATAATGTTAAGATAAACAATTCATCTATAGAACATTTTTGTGTAACTTTAACTATATGCCCAGCGCACGCCACGGAAGGCCTCAGAAACGATACTTTTCCCCCGTTTTTAAAACATTTTTGGTTACTGCTCCACAACTATAGGACCTAGCGTGATATTATATAGCCTATGTTACTTCTGAATAATGCAGCTTTCGAATGGTGAAAAAATTATTGCAATCGGTTCAGTAGTTTTTGAGTTTATTCATTACAAACATACAAAAATACAAAAATACAAATCTTTCCTCTTTATAATATTATTAGTATTAGTATTAGTAAGAATTAGTATAGATAATGATGACACAATACATAGTTCGAAGAAATGTGTAACCAACGGCGTTTTCCCCAGAATATACATGAAATCATAAACACCATCACACCAACTTATATAACTAATAAAAAAGAAAACATAAATAACATTACGCCCTTTGATCCCTGAGGGGAAAGGCAAAGGTATGATATTATATTATTGTGCTTAACTAAAGTTAAGAAAAAATTGAAAGACACGTACACATTTACAAATTAAATGTGGACTGTCTCGATGGCCGAGTGGTCGCAAGTGCAACGACCGGGCAAGGGGTCTCGGGTTCTTAAAAATTAAATCTCAGTATATGGATACCGGGCACGTTTCCAGACTCCGTGCCATCAATAGGCTCACTCCCTATTACATGGGACTAATAACATAAATAGTGAAAAGTGGGTAGTTACCTCTGTGTGCACCTCTGCATACCCCTTCGGGGATAAAAGGCGTAATGTTATGTTATGTTATATGGAATCACCAATAGACCGACCAGCTAACATGAATTGACTTTAAGTATTATTTACAGTTAGTTAGTAAGAATTATTAACTAAGTACAGTCTTATTTGACACCAACTAAGTAGTCATAAATCGGTCGAGTCGAGAGAGTACATCTCTCTTCCAATTTGCTAGAACGCACTTAGATGATAGAATGGACTTAGACATTTAGAAATAATGTCAGCCGTGTAATGTAACTTGTGACTTGTGGTAAATCGACTTACTATATTGAGCATGTTATCTCTACTTATCGCAGTTCGGAGTCTCAATGACTCTTCGCGTCATGTTTTTCCCTGACTCTTGATAACCCTGCTTTATGTAAGCACGACCTCTGATTTACAATGTCCTACATTTGACTTAGGCAAGTATTTCAATCGCAACAAAATGCATTCGATCATCCGCTACATTGGTACACGAATGTCTTACGAACAACAACAGGCAGACAGTGCGGTCTACGTAGCTTTAAGAATATTATATCCAGCAGTGGACGTCTGTCTACGACACTGGGATGTGGAGACGATGATGATATTGAATGCCTTACAATATGAACCGGCTGCTGTAAAATAATGTTTTGTTTTATTCACAAATTGTTGCTCTGGGTCTGGGTATGAATATGAAATTATGTAGCTGTAAGCACAGCTACGACACAGGACGAGATTGCAGCGTGTGGCACGTTTGAAATAATAGGAGAAGCGTTTATCCAAACCACACGTGTATATACCTCTAGGTATAGGTACTGTAATATTTTTTCTTGAATAATAGACAGATAGTGAAACGAAAACAAATAATGCAACAAAGAGTAACTGTAAGATATTAACTAAGACTTGAACATTTCTGACTGCTTTGTTGGCCAAGTGTTCGCAAACCTAACTATCTACCAAGAAATTAGTCTTTTACCTACCAAGAAATAAATCAATTGAGTTATATTTCTTAGTTGGGTTTTCGATACTCCCAGTACCTAGTGACAGTGAGTCAGACATTGATTATAGTGACCCTTGCACACGTGGCAATACCAATGCGCTTTTTCTAACTAATATGAAGATGGGCCTCGTGTTACATGTTTACATACTCGCTCTATTTTCTTGAAAAGTAAAGCTATTCACAACGGTTACCGCAGTCCAAGTAAAAACTAGAGTGACAAAGTGCCTTTTACTTTAATAATAATTTATAGTACTTAGGTAAGTAGATAGATATTATAATTGTCGGTGTACCTGAACTAATTCTTTTTTGAATGGCAACCGAGTGAACCTATATTAGTCATAGAAAGCTGTAAGAAATTTGGCATAAGTAGGTAGGTACTTATAGGTACACGTTAACCAAAAAAACCACTTACAATAGTGTTATTAGGATACCATAAATATTTTAAAAACTATACTTATAGTAAAGTATCTATACAGTTCCGCTTGTGGTCGCTAGATGGCACAAAATGTTACTTATTAAATGTTCGCGAATCTAACTGGCACTTATCCGTTTTTCTAATAAAAGTAGTTATACTGGGAATTCTAAAATAGGTTGGTACCAAAAACCTTAAATTTATTATTACATATAAATTTGTTAATTTCAAAGGCGTAGAAATCAACATCCCTGGTTCATTTCCACCATGGAATTGAAAACAATTTTTTTTTCTTTTCCCTAACACATTTTTCGTTCGAAAAGTTCGGCAACGGCAACCTTCTATTATTATTACTAAACTCCCAATCTTCCCGCCAGTTTCAAGAAAGGGTACAAAACCGCTGCCTTCTTCGTAAATAAAGGTCAAGCTGAGGCATTGGCAGTTAATCTAGATATAGCGAAGGCGTTCGATAGGGCACCTATGGCACCGGAGTCTTTTGACGAAGTTGCCATCATACGGACTGCCCGAGGTGTAGTTGCTCTGAAAGCTTGGAAGATGAAAGCTCTGAATAAACGCTGGCGACCCGCAAGGCTCCGTACTTTCTCCGACGCTGTTTCTTCTGCATATCAATGATTTGCTGTCTGTTGAGGGTATTCATTGCTATGCTGATGATAGCACCGGGGACGCATCTTATACGGGCCGTGCAAACATCCCTCGTTCCGTTGTGGAAGAAAGCCGCGTAAAACTTGTGTCTCAAATCGAGAGTCTCCGATTGGGGTCGGGACCATATGGTCCGGTTCAACCCTCCAAGACACAAGTTTGTCCGTTTATATCGCTAAAAAAACCCATTCGTTGTGGCCCCTAAATTCCTAGACACTACCCTCAACATCTCCAAAAGTATCCTTGGTGTCAACATATCTAGTGACATCCAGTTCCGTAGTCACTTAGCTTAGAAGACAAGGCCAAGCTAAGCAGCAGGCATCTAAAAAACTCGGTGTGCTAAACAGAGCGAAGCGGTACTTCACGCTGGGACAAAGACTGCTTTTATATAAATCGGAAGTTCGCTCCCATATGGAGTACTGCTCTCATCTCTGGGCAGGAGCGCCAGCATACCAGCTTGGACCTTTTGACGCGGTCCAAAGGAGAGCTGTAAGACTTGGTGACGATCCTATAATTAACTACTTACGAGCTTACGAGCGGTATCGAGCACTTAAGTCTAAGGAGAGATTTTGCCTCCTTGTGCGTGTTCTACCGCTTGTATAATGGGTTGTGTTCTGCGAAATTGTTTGATATGATGCCCTCGGCCACTTTCTATTGTCGCACCGCTCGCCGTCGACAGGGAGTTCACGCTCACACATTGGAGCCCAAATGGTCCCGTACAGTTCGGTTTCAGAGGAATTTTCTCCCACGGACCCTCCAATTCTGGAATGAACTCCCTGCTGTGGTTTTCCCAGTGGGCTACAACATGGGGTTCTTCAAGAGGGGAGTGACTAAGTTTCTTAAGGTCGACAAGACGCATGTAATGCCCTAAGTGTTGCAGGCGTACATAGGGCACGGTAACCGCTTACCATCAGGTGGGACGTGTGCTTTTTTGACACTCTCGTTTAAAAAAAATAATACTGTCTAACTGGGTGTCTCCAAGGCCCGGTTGAATAGACAAACTCCCGTGCGTCACAGCGTGCCACATTTTGTAGCACGATATGACGTAACAACCTCCCACTCCCAAACTTAGCGCCATTTTATCTAAATATTGCAACTTAATAAAAATACGTGTCTAATATTTTTACATTATCTAACTGACGGACTAATTAGATTTTTAGATTTGATACCCTGGAAACTACCGAATTCCAAAAGGCCGGTAACGCACTTGCAACGCCTCTGGTGTTCCAGGTGTCCATGGGCGACGCCGATTGCTTACCATAAGTATCGTCACTTTATATTATCTTTACACAATATGTGAACATGAGCGTGAAGCGCCATCTCTTAGTAGGTGCTCACACTTTTTGTGTTGCTAAATGGAATATTTTTTATAGATTCGAGCGTCGAAAAAAATATTTATGGATACATTTCCATACACAAACCATGATTCTCAAAGACTCGTTGTACTGCATTTCTCCTATACTTATTATTAATATACTCTTTGTACTGCATTCTGCATTCATTATACAATTATTCATCCTTCATTCATTAAGCATTGCCATTCAACATGGCAATGCTGCCAGTCTTTTGGGCATCCTACCTCCTACATCACGATAGCGATGAGAAAATTTTTTTTGATGCCTTAAGGTAATTTTAAGGTGTAAATATTTTAGTTTTTAGTTATTTGTATTTATAATATTAATATTATTATAAAACTTAAAAACTGTCATAGATTTTACATTACTCTTTGATATTAAAAACTTGTTGGTTTTAAACCACATTGGTTTTTAGAAACTCAGAAGGCAGGAAAAATAAAGAGTACCACCATTACAATGCACCTTAAATTGTTAACATCTAAATCAAATTACAAAATCAGGACTAGCTAAACCATAACTATTAATTGGAAAGAAAACAACAACAACACATGCCTATTTATGTGTTATATTGACTTTTATATAGCTTAAAATTCCCTCAACACCACGCCTTCTCAATAACTTCCGAGTTCCCGCTATCTTGACTTTTTCATTTTTCGCACAACAGATTACATCTTCTCGCTACGCGATGACGTTACGTTTTTTTGTCTATGCTTTTAACATTATATTTCTGGCCTGGCAACTCTATGGTTTTAGTTAGGCAGTTTGTCTATGGAACAATGTTTGAAAAAAAAATGTCAAGCTGTCATGTCAAGATCTATGAGTCGAATGAATATTAACTTGAATGAATTAAAATAGAGAATGCTCTTTGGAAATGTGTTATTATAATCCTGATATGTGCATTTAATAAAAAGTTTTTTAGTGTTAAGTGTACTTCATGAATGTATCTGATAGTTAAAGTATAAACGAGTGGCATACATGGCTCAACGCTTTCCTGCAAGCGGGCCAAGCGCCGCGCCTCCTCCAGGCCCAATGCAGCCTCAGCAGCGGTACCCTGGCCCTGCACAACCTCCTGGATCACCAATGCCACCAAGACCTTACCCAGGACCCAATTTCCCTGTAAGATTACTTGATTGTTGCTTTATCTGTGAATGCATCCAACAAATTATGTATCGCCGTCGCCGTACTCGTGACGCTATGTTTGTTTACAACGATCACCCGAATTCACTTTTAATTTATTTATACTTTAGCAATCCACGACACTAAAGTAATTACTTATACAGGAAAGCTATTCATGTGTCTTCTAAACGATACATATAAGAGTGTAGATAGGTGGGTAATTGTAATATGGTATGTATAGATGTTCACTAAAGAAGTGTGAATTGTGAATTCAGTCATTATCTTCACCATCAGCCTGTTTTCTTCTACTGCTGGACATAGGTCTCTCTATTGGCATGCTGCACCAATGAGCTTGATTCTCAGCCTTATACTTCCAACCACTGTAGGTGAACCTACCTACTTACGGTGTGAACAATAATATTTAACTTTGACAGTGAAAAATAATCTACCAATAACAAATATTAAATCCCAGATAGTTAGCATGGTTCATTTAAAGTATTTCAACTCATAGTACTGGCCTGACATAATTATGAGGTAGCTAAATAATACATCTTACTAATGTTATAATTAAGTACATGGTGATAATATGCATTTACAGTACGTGACAGAGACATAAGAATATACCAACAATAAAGTACTTTGGAAAAGTTTAAAAATATTATATGTGACCCTGGCAATAAATACTATATAACTGAAAAATTAAATAAATAAATAAAAAAATAACATATAGATAGAGCTATATAACAGCATGATAAAATTACGCCTGAGTGACTTGCAGAGAGCAAAAAAGTACGAGTAATATCCTGCTGTAACAGATACTCTGTTCAGATGACTGAAGTGTTTACTTATAGTTTAAAATATTATTACAAAATTGTTATTTGGTTGGTCCGGTAATGGGGACAATATTGAATATTGAATAATGTATCTATTGTTTAAATTTATTCTTAATTCTCTTTATTATTACAATTTATCTCTAATTTTGTTCTGGATTATAATTCATTATAAATAATTGTTAATAAATAAATACTAGTCGTTGCATGTCATGTTGTGTGCACATTTCTGTGGAAGCATGGTCTGCCATTTACAGTTTTGTATTGTTACTCTTTTGTGTATTGTGCTGTGTTTCTGTTTCGTGTACCTATTAAATAAATAAATAAATAATGGCTTTAACTATTGGCAGGCTCGCAGCGGGTTCACACCACCTCCCGGGGGCGCGGGGGGCGCACCGCCTGCTGGGGGCGCGCGGCCGGGGGCGCGGCCTACGGGGGCGGGCCGGCGCCCGCGCCGCTGCGACCCGCGCCAGCGCCCGCTCCGCCGGCGCCCGCCAAGCGGCCGGGCGACGCGCGCGGCCCGGCGCCGCACAAGGCGGGGCTGTACGGGGCGGACGGGTACGCGGCGGGGTGCGGCCGGACCGCAGGCCCCGAAGCGCAAGAAGCGGTTGGCCGACAAGATCCTGCCGCAGAAGGTGCGCGATCTGGTGCCGGAGTCGCAGGCCTACATGGACCTGCTCGCCTTCGAACGTAAACTAGATGCCACAATTATGCGGAAACGACTCGACATCCAAGAAGCCCTCAAACGTCCCATGAAACAGAAACGAAAACTCCGTATATTCATATCCAACACTTTCTACCCAGGTAATAAAAATCCCCGTAAGACAACCAATATTTTTAGTGTATGGAATTCCTGGATGTTTATAAAATTTACATTGTTTCATCCTTGAAAGACTTATCAAGTCATCCATGTGAGACAGGCTGGGAATGTTTGATTATCATGCGTTACAACCACCACACACTTTTACATGGAATACTTTTGTAATAAGTAAATTTGTTCATAATTTGTTTTTGATTTTGGGTTTGGGTTGCATTTGATTTTCCTAGAACTTTAGCATTCGATCCCAAAGTGATGAATATGATAAATTGAGAACTTCTTGTAATGGTATTGTTCGTTCTTGGTTATATTTGAAACAAATTAATATTTATATATACATACATAAGAAATGTTTTATTTATAGGTCAGGGTGACACCGCTGTGCCATCTTGGGAGCTCCGTGTCGAGGGCCGTCTGCTGGACGATACTAAAAACGATCCTAACAAAGTAAGACATCTTTACCTTTATCTTAATAGTTTGACACACACAGAGTAATTATTAATTAACCATCACTTACCATCATCTCATATTAAGTATAAAAATATCATGTTATGTATATATATAAAAAAACAAAGCGTTATCGAAGGTGTACGCCTTCATTACCGATCGGTCCCGCGAATATGCGGAACTAACGTGACTGGAGATGTTGCAGGTGAAGCGCAAGTTCTCATCGTTCTTCAAGTCGCTGGTGATCGAGCTGGACAAGGAGCTGTACGGGCCCGACAACCACCTCGTGGAGTGGCACCGCACGCTGACGACGCAGGAGACGGACGGCTTCCAGGTGAAGCGGCCCGGATACAAGAACGTGCGCTGCACCATCCTGCTGCTGCTGGACTACCAGCCGCTGCAGTTCAAGCTGGACCAGCGCCTGGCGCGCCTGCTGGGCGTCCACACGCAGACCAGGCCCGTCATCGTCAACGCGCTCTGGCAGTACGTCAAGACGCATCGTCTGCAGGACGTGCACGAGCGCGAGTACGTCGCCTGCGACAAGTACCTCGAGCAGATCTTCGGCGCCGCGCGCATGAAGCTGGCCGAGGTGCCGGGCCGCCTGGGGGCCCTCCTGCACCCGCCCGACCCCATCGTCATCAACCACGTCATCGCCGTCGAGCCGCCGCACGACACCAAGCAGACTGCCTGCTACGACATCGACGTCGAGGTCGGTGTGTCCGTCTGTCTGTCCGTCTGTCCGTCTGTCTGACCTATGTGTGTGTGGCCCATTACTATTGACGATGTCTTTGTAGGTGGATGACACTCTGAAGACTCAGATGAACAACTTCTTGTTGAGCACTGCCAATCAACAAGAGATCCAGGGCCTGGACTCCAAGATCCATGAGACTGTGAGTGATTTCATTTCATATCAGTACTATACTTGTTGCACATTATTTAATTTGCCTTAACGTTACTGTTACAGGTGGACACTATCAATCAGTTGAAGACAAATCGTGAATTCTTCTTGAGCTTCAGTATGGATCCGCAGCAGTTCATCCAGAAGTGGCTAGTTTCGCAGTCGCGTGACCTCAAGGTGAGTGCCGGTCAAACTTATCATTACTCTTGGTTAAGAGCTATTATTTTTCGTTCTATATCAATATCAATACATACAGGGTTTACTGGTAACTCGACGTATTCCTTGCAAGGCGTCATAGTAAGGTTAAAATGCAGCAAATTAGGACACCAAATGTTCTACCGAAGTTCAGTAGTTTTTGAGTTATTTAGATTTTTAGGTTTTTATGAAAAAATCCCAGATTAAATCATTTGAAGCCAATTTAAAAATGATTTACAGCGCGACTGTGCTGGTGAGCTAAGCTTAAGCTTTGTGATCGGTCACTATTGTTCTTTCGGCATGACACAGGGTGCGACTACAAAATCTGGTCGTCAGCGTCAGTCAGTTAGTTTCAATTATACGTCACGCAAGCTCGTGTTTTGTTATCTGGCTATTTCCTTAACTGATACCGCGTATCTTGCTCTTGTGCTGTGCTGTACCTTCATAAGTGCTGAATATGGCTGCATATTCTAACCCTGAATACGCTGACATAATGTACTGTTATGGACTTAGTGACGGTAACGCTGCTCAGGCGCGGAGAGAATATCAACTTCGCTTTCGAAACGAGAACTTGTCGAAAATCCCACGAGATCGGGAACTATAAACGTAAAATTCGATGCCTTTTATAAAAGTGTTTGTACGTATGTTCGGTTGCGTTGCTCCGAACAGTGGGTAAAACCAAAAATTTGCCAGAAGTCTATATTATATTTTGTCGACAAAAATCACACAAAGAGTATACTGCTCGATAGGATCCATTTTAAATTTGTATTTGTTTGCCTTTTTTATGAAGCATTCGTCCATTAATAAGATAATCTAGATCTATTTTCCATTTATCTTGTAATTTAGATCAGTCGTTGGTAATATAAAGTAATATTAATTCGTAATTGTAATCTGTACAAAATGTTTACTTCGTAAACTGACGAGGACGGCAGCATCAGTCGGGAGCGTGTCGCTAATGTCGCGTGTCGTCCGCAGAGCATGGGCAGCGCGGGCGCGGGCGCGGCCGAGGAGGAGCGGCTGGGCGCGTACTACCGGCAGGCGTGGGCGCGCGAGGCCGTGGCGCGCTACCTGACGGCGCGCCTGGCGCAGCGCCGCCGCGACCTCGACCTGGCGCTGCACGCGCCGCACGCGCCGCACGCGCCGCACCTCGCGCGCCTCTAACCGCGCCGCTCTACGCTCTCCCTTGTAATAAACTTTTATTCCGGCACCCTCTGCGTTTCATTTCTCCCTTTCAAAGCTGCGGACGACGAACGAGTGTAAAAAAGCCTTAAACCGGTGTGCGTCCTATCAGTAATGTATGGAGCCGAGACGTGAACTCCCTGACAATACGACCACGACCGGCCCAAAAGTTAAGCTATGGAAAATGCTAAGCTCGAACAGACTCTGAAGTATCTGAAAGTTTGCACACACACACATTTGTCGGAATAGTGGAGAACCAATGGTTATCGGGGGTAAAGTACCTAAATATTAGGTTATAGTACTTACCATAGTAGACAGTATTTAGGCACAGTCTATACGGTCGTCCAACGAAGACGTCTAGACAGGGCAATCGTGCGGGGTGTGAGGGGCGAGACGCGGGTAGACCGATCCCGAGCTGCGAACAAAATGATGTTAGTAGCTCGGGATATATTATTCAGGGCTAACGCGTGTTTGTTTTACCGACTTCAAAAACAGGAGGAGGCACTATGTTTGCCATTGTTTCTTTTTGGTATTCTGTCTGCTATTGTTTCTTTTTTATGTAGGTTTGCCGCTGCAGGAAATTTTCAATTTATGGTCATGGGTATCGTTTTCGAGGGTGATAAACCGATGGTGCTGTCAAAATGTAAAACCAAGATGGTGGCTGCATGAAATAAAAAAAAAAAATAAAACGTGGTAAAACTGTTGGCGCTGTCGAAATGTAACTCTTTAACGATGTACAGTAACTACCTTGTGTTTGGGTTTGTATCATTTGTATTGATTACAACTTTGCACCTATGTGGATTATAAGTGGCAAAACGGGTATATGTAGCTTTACACTGAAAATGATAAAATAATAAAATAAAAACTGCGTTTAAGAAACCGACTTCAAAAAAATCCTAAATCTAATAACAAACAAAAACTAAAAAGCAAAAAATAACTATACTCCGTCTGTTTAGGTAGTTAACTATTTGTAAACAAACCATAAAAAGAGTTCTTTATAGTTGACATTTCCTGATTCAAATACTTAAAAAGAAAATAAAATTGTTTCCCTTTTACGACAGTTTTCTCTATTAAATGTTATGTTTCTGTTCCTTTTCACTTATTTCTTAAAAATTATATATATCTGCTTGAGGATATTAATTTAATAACATTTATAAATAATATAATATTTCATTACAATAGACACCATAAAGAGCCTAAAATCCCAGGTATCCAAAACGTTTCTTTAAGAACGAAGCAAAATAATGTTGTCAAATTAAAGAGTACAACGAAGATGTAGCGCGACAATGAAAGTAGCGTGTATTACGTTTAGTCGGTTAATCAGGCGCCATTGACAGCTCTCTCGTCGTTTGCGCTCGCGTTCCTATTTTGTTGAATTTAACTTGTTTCTTTGTTTTTATTATGTTATTAAGTTATTTAAGTTTAGGTTAATCATCGTTTGTAATTAATGTGTTCAAAATATTGAAGAAACTTGCCCAAAGACAGATATCCGTACAAGAAAGAAATCCGTACTCAGATTCAGAATAGTTTTCTATTTAAACATGATAATGAAATAGACCCATAGGCTAGGCTCTTGTACGATTTAGGCATTTGTACTTGTATGTGTGTGTATGACAAATGAACGATTTTAAAGTGAATTTAGTTAAAATTAAAACACGAGAAATATTTGAAGTAATAGTAGGTTAAGTATCTCTGTGTCACGTGGTTTTCTTTGTTTACCTTTAGTTAATTACCTAAACAGACAGAATATTACCTATTAGTACTGATAGATTACCCACCCACTGATAGGTTTTTTTAAGGGGGGAAAATCATCGAATGACTGCTCCCGCCTGGGTGAGGCGGCAGGGAGTGTCAGACTCTTACTGACTAAAAACCACCCCGTTCCTTCTCCTGCACGTCGAGCCGAAGCCCCGGTTACCCGTTAGGTTCTCCGAATCGGCATCGGCCCTATTGGGCCCCATCTGTGGAGGTCTGATGGCTCTTTGAGGCGTGCGCGGAACGCGACGCGCCGTACGCTCGGGTCTGTTTCTGGTCGGAAGGGGAGCCACCTATGCTCGCCGTCCGCAGGCCCGCGCTTACAGTGGCCGGAGATCGTCCCGCGATCCCCGATGGCTGGATTGCGTGGAGGCACCGCTTCGCTGCCTCACGCGAGTCCTAAGTACTTCATCGCCGTCTCGACGCCGATGGTAACCCCTCCCGCCGTTATTTATTTATTTTATATATTTATACCTACATTTGAAAAACCAACAGCTATACAATTTGATTAAATAGAATGTGGTATGCAACAAGAAGCCAATTACTGGTTTTCACGATTGGTAACAGAAAGTAGAAACATGCTAACACAGTACTAAAATTACTTATTAAACTCATTAAACCACAGGCAGTCTATAATGATGCACAAATTACTCCAAATATTAAGGACCATATAGGTACCCACTATGAATTAAAGAAATCAAGGTTCAGCTGCCTGCGTGCCACAGTAAATTTTGTGTTAAATGGGTCGAATGAAAACTCTTTACACAGTTTATTGAAATCATTGCTGGCTCGCACAATATACGAATTACTCCGATAGTTGGTTGAGGAAGTAGGTATCGATATCGGTACACTGAACCTAAATGACTTACGAGGAACATTAAAATGAAGTCTTTGCAGTATTTTAGGGCAGCCAATGTCATTAGATAGTATTTTTAACATAAATGAAAAATATAAAATAAAAAATTTTGGACTCACCCGGAAGTGACGCGTTCCCGCGGCCTTGAAAACACATGGCCTCGGACTTGTGGAGCGCCACCTCGAGTCCCAACTGCCGGATTCTCTGAACGACTGTCGCAACTGCTGTCGCCATTAAGTCGGCCACCGCCTGGTGCGACCTCCCGTGCGCTAGCACCAGCGTGTCGTCGGCGTAGCATATGATGCTAACGCCGTTCGGGAGGTCGGTGCGCAGCACCCAGTCATAGCCGATGTTCCACAGGAGCGGCCCCAGAACCGAACACTGACCCACTGATAGGTTAGAAGTCGGTGCCATAAGCTCATATCATAATGATATAACTTAATGGCCACAAAATTGTAAATTAAGTACCTATCTATAAAGGTTTTAATGAAAAATTTTGTGTAGAACTTATGGCGCCGACTTCTAATCTATCAGTGGGTGGGAAACCTATCAGTACTAATAATAGTTATTTTTTACCGACTTCAAAAAAAGGAGGAGGTCCTATGTTCGGCTGAGGCTGATTGATTTTTTTTTTGTTCGCGCTGTACTCCGCCATTTGTGAACCGATTTTCAAACTTCTTGTTTTGTTTGAAAGGGTATACTCCCGAGATGGTCCCATTTTCATGAGGTCAGGATCTGATGATGGGATCCTAGGGAAACCGAGGGGAACTTTCGAAAATTCTATGGGCGAGTGATGCGTCTATTATGTTTTTCAATTACGATTTTTTAGCACTACGATTTGATAAGGGTCTGGAGTCGACTTGATGATGGAGCCGAGAGACAGTCGAGGGAACTCCTCAACGGTTTATATTAACTACCTTGTGTTTGGGCTTGATTAATTTGTATTGATGAGAACTTTACACCTAGATAGAGTGTGGCTGTCATTAAGGGTCTGTACAAGTGTGTACAGGTGGACTTAATGCCTTTGGCATTGTCTCCTAGTCAACCTTTAAGCAGTGCAGAGATGAAAGTAGCAGGTGATTTAAACCTTTATAAAAGGCAACTTTTTAGTTTTGACTTTTTGTTTGTTATTAGTTTTTGGTTTTTTGAAGTCGGTTTTTTAACGCAGTTTTTATTTTATTATTTTGCTTTTTAGTCTTTACTTTTTGTTATTAGGTTTTGGTTTTTGAAATCGTTTTTATGTAACTATTGTTTAACATTTTTGTAAATATTTATTATTTCTCTCGATTAGCGCCACAAAGTGTTTAAACGGAACTGTTGTTATAAGTACTCGTACACAAAACTGCGATGCGAGCTCTCTCTACACATCGCAAGAACTTGCGAATTGATTCGTATCGCGAGCGCATCAAAATCTTTTATTCCCAAAATCTTTGTGTCTTTTTCCTGTATCTTCTAAGCAATAACGGAAATTCACACTTCTTTTTACGATCCATGTCACGACCTAGTTTTCAATTTAAAATACGTTTAGTATGGTTGACGCCGACGGTCGTCGAAGGAATGGTCACCCTGAGAGACGCCTCGCTAGAAGTCGCATCTTCGCAATTCGCATCGTAAGTTTCTGCGTTGCGAATGCGTATCGCATCGCAACGCAGTTTTGTGTGCGAGCCCTAAACAACTATTAAATTATGAAAGTAAATATCCACCTATCTACTTGAAAATAATAACCATCAGTTTCCCCAAACAACAAAGTATAATTGTAGTATCATTACCAAACAGTAAGCTGATGTAGATATACATAGATCCCTTGGTGTAAGCCTAACTCGTGGCTGACTTGTTTCTAATGAACAAGGTCGGGGCTTGTGTAGATACTTGTGACTGTTATCAGCTGTTAGGTAGTGAATACATATTTACCGAAGTGACGAGCCGCTAATATTTATATAATTAATACATGCAATCTGCTTGTGTACCTGCCACCACTTATGTAAAGCGGCGCGGTAAAAATAATCTTGTGTTGTGCTGTATACTACTTGTGTTCGCATTGTATGCCTGTTTGAGCTGCGCACTTGTGAGATAAAACCTTACATACATCATATATAAATATATAATATGTAATTCCTAAATCAACTCATCAACACAAAAATTACAATACCTACTTACTTAAGCATAATAATATATCTCATGGCGGAATGGCAGCAACGACTGTCGCAACCGAGGGCTGGGCTCGCTGCCATTGCAGCGGTAAGTCCCCTCTTTGAGGAGTGGCTTGAGAGACGCTACGGCGTCCTCACCTACCGCCTGACGCAGGTCCTCACCGGACATGGAAGTTTCGGGAGGTACCTGTGTCTGATGGGGCGGGAGGAAACGCCCGGGTGTCATCACTGCGAGGACCGCCCTGAGGACACGGTGGAACATATTGTTGCGGAATGCCCTGCGTGGGCTGAGCACCGCCGTGCCCTCAGGGAAGTGATCGGCGATGGCGACCTCTCGCGTCCGGGCTTAGTGCAGGCCATGATGCGGAGCGAGGGGGACTGGGATGCCGTCTCCTCCTATTGCGAAGCAGTCATGCTAGCTAAGGAGGAGGCGGGACGCGTGAGGCAGCGAAGCGCTGCCTCCTCGCAACCCAGCCATCGCGAAGGACACACCGAGCGTCGGGGATCGCGGGACGATCTCCGGCCACCGTAAGCGCGGGACTGCGGACGGCGAGCATGGGTGGCTCCCCGTCCGACCAGAAACAGACCCGAGCGTACGGCGCGTAGTGTTCCGCGCGCGCCTCAAAGAGCCATCAGACCACCACAGATGGGACCCAATAGGGCCGAAGCCGATTCGGAGTCGCGGAGAACCTAACGGGTAACCGGGGCTCCGGCTCGACGTGCAGGAGAAGGAACGGGGTGGTTTTTAGTCAGTAAGAGTCTGACACTCCCTTCCGCCTCACCCAGGCGGGAGCAGTCATTCGATGATTTTCCCCGCTTAAAAAAAAAAAATCATAATAATATGTTGAATACAGTTACTATTTGAATTTATACATAAACAAGATAAAATAGTAGAATGTTGTTTATAAACCTGCTCTAATGTTTGTTTATTAATAACACGCTTTTATTAGGTGGGATTGCAATTGCAAGTAACTAGCTCACCGAATTACATAATCAAAGTCAAAAGTCAAAGTCAAAAATCATTTATTTCAATTAGACCAGGAAGGCACTTTTGAACGTCAGCAATAGAAATTTAAAAATGAAGCTATTTGCTCATTCCAAGGTGTAGATTCCTATGGAGAAGAACGAGCAAGAAACTCCATAGGTTACTCTTTTCCA